TTTAAACTCCAATAATATAAAAAAAAATTATACCGGCCCATCATCATGACCGTGGCCTGAGGATTAGTTCCAGGCGACTCCCTAAAAGTCGAGCCATCCACCACACGAAGCCTCTCGACCCCAAGCACCTTATAATCCGAGTCCACCACCTGGCCCACGTGGCAACCCCCATGATAATGCCAGATTGTAATAACAGTGTCCTTACAAAACTGCTCGAGCGACTTAGTATCGTTCATATGCCTAGGAATAAGATTCACGTTCGCCTCAACGCTCATGTTTATGAGCTTCTCCACCACGTCCTGATCGAGCTGCGTGTAGCTGGCAAAGTGCTTCGTCATCAGCATTTTCTTGATCGTCCGTATGCCGTCCACGCAACGCTCCACGTCCTCCGGGTGGCTGAAGTAGTTGAAGGTGATGGAAGGGTTATCGTCCACATTGGTGTTGAGGAGGGAGATTTGACCTTTCGAACGAGGGCTCGCGATTTTCTCGAGTATGAAGCCGCCCTTGAAGGCCTCGCGCGGGAGGCTTCTCTTTTGTTTGCGGTAGTTGTGGATCGACTCGTGGGTCCTTTGCTTCGGTGGGACTGTCGACAGCTGGCCGATCTGTTGTAATAAAATGAACGACATTATAAAAACACTCGTGAGATTTTTTTAATAAAGGGTAAATTGCGATTTCAGTACCCAGACTAAGGGGTAATTTCGAGGGCAGTACCCCAAATTCACATTATATCAATTTCAGTACTATAACTATGAAACAACTCGCGAATTTCATACCCCTTCGTTAGTTGCCCGTTAAAACTAACAGTGAGTAGATTCTATGAGTGTCAGATATGAAATTTTCTGTTAATTTTAATGGGCAACTAACTGCGGGGGTATGATATACGCGAGTTGTTTCATAGTTAGGGTAGTAAAATTGATATAGTGTGAATGTGGGGTTCTGACTTTGAAATTAACCCTCAGTCTAGGTACTGAAATTGCTATTTACCCTTTAATAAATGTGAAGGTTTTCAAATGTTCTGAACACAAAATCTCAGGGTTGTTTTTGAAATTCTTGAGCTTAGTCGGGTTTTTCTGAAATTACGGCAAACGTCAAGGGTACTTCTAGCAACCAACTCTTACGAAATTTTCAAAAAATAAAAAATAAATACTTTTTTCTAACATTTTGTACTTACCTCAGCCGAAGCAATTCCGTGATCACAATGTATACTATCAGATGACTGTCCAAAACCACTGCTTGCCTCAATGTACACTCCAAGCTTCGTAATTCCCACGGTTTGTATTAACGACTGCTTGACAGGCGTTTTACTCGGCACGAATATTGTGTTGAGGGGGTTATCCGCCATTTCCTTTCCCACATGCTCATTATCAAGAACGACTGGAATACCAAATTTCTCGAGCTCGGCTTTTGGGCCAATGCCGCTAAGAAGCAAAAGGTGAGGGCTCCCAATCGCACCAGACGAGACTATGATCTCACTCCCAACTCTATTCGAGAGATACGCTTTATGCATATTTCCTTTTTCGTCCTTGAATGTGACTCCAATTGCCCGAGGCTTTTCTCCTGTAGTTAAAAATGCCCGATAGCAGCTTCATCATGTCAGGTGAAAAGAAAAGTTCCGATCATACAATTTTTCAGTTATTCGGCACTTTTGTTTTATTTTCTGCATTAATTTTTTCTTTTGGGACTTACCAGATGTATCGAAATCGATTTTCTGAACCGTAGCATGCACCAAGACGTGGAGATTTTCGGGATTAGCCGAGGCAAGAAGCTCTGCTGCCGTGTGGCGCCTTCCGAACCTGTCGAAAATTGTCCCACCCACTTTAGTTCCATACAAGTGATCGTAAGTGAACCCGTTGAAAGGCGAAATCCCGATTTCTATAAGGCTATCTCTGACAGTTTTCTGCCAGGGCACAAGGTCTGGCCGGTGAACGATTTGATTTTCGACCCAAGGATAGGACTCATTCACGAGCTTAGCGTCCCAACCTACACTCTCAACATAGCTGCAAAAGCCGAAAAGTTTATTTCAGCATTATAATTAGCAATAACGGATGCATATATAAAAGGGTATATAATTTTTTCCAAACATGTACTATACGTACTTTTGAGATTTCCAACCTATTATATTTTTTGTTGTAAATTGCAACCTAAACTTCATGAACATTCATTATTTGCACGCTCGCCTACTTCTTGACCATCCGATCATCCGCAAAAATAGACACGTGTATGGTCAAGATGTAGGCAAGCGTGCAAATTATGAAAATTCATGAAGGTTGCAATTTACAACAAAAAATACTACAGGTTGAAAATCCCAAAAGCATGTATAGTACAGGTTGGGACCAATGTTTTACCTTATATAAAATAACATGTCCAAGAGGAGTAATGGATAATCATAGAAGATACTCTTAAGTCCTAAGGTTCATTCTAATAACAAAAAGAACTCGAAAACGAACTTTTAACTCTACAAAACACTTCGTTGATATTGTTTCTATTTTATAAGGCACACACTCGAGCGAAGTTCACAGATTTGTGATAGCTTCACGAATTTGGAAGATACACAGTTTTTTTATATATTTAGGCTAAGCATCAAGGTAGTTTTATAGTTAAAACAAAAGAATAAGATTAAATTGCAATATTCATAAAAAGTGGAAAATATAAGTTAAATCTGGTGTGGAACTAAGTCCCCAGAGTTATAAATACCAAAAATGGAACTCTGCTTTTCTGAGGGTCTAAATCTCATGCTACAAAGTACAATCACTCACAATGAACCCTTAACATTATTGAGCATTCTTCAATGCCACCAGCAAAGGATTTTTCATGGTCTATCAAAAAGTCTTTTACTTTCAATGATATGAAATATGATCTCCTATTCCACTTTCATCTTCCATTTTATTTGATGAATGACATGTGTACAAATATGAAATCATCATTTACACGTGTCATTCATCCAATGGAATGAAATACGAATTTAACACCAAAGCAGAACAGTAAATCATTCCATCTAATACAAAAGAAGCAATAATTCTTCTTCTATCAAAAGCAAATTTTCTCCACAAATCACTTGAGCTAAAGTCGATTCTCAATATGACCGAAAGAACTTTTATGGAAATTTGAATCTACCTAAAAGTTAAAGGTTTATTGATTGCAAATTTGGTTAATAATGACAATGTGTTAATAATAATAATAATAAGTATTTAATAATACAAATATATTATCTACATTAAATGCCAATGGTGTTTGAGTAGTTCAGATAGCATAAATGAGGTTGAATCTCTATTCTTCCTTTTAGTGGTTGTTTCCCCACTTGTATTGATGAGCCTTTGTGTCTACCTAACAAATCACATGCTAAATAAATAACACCAACTCAAACAAAAAATTATCATTACCATATATAGAAAAGTTTTGGCGGGTAACCTTTCATTGTTTCCAATATATTAATTTGGCCAAATGCAATTATTACATGGTTATTATAGTCATGATTGTATTCAGTTGTACAGTCACATGCATAACCTAATTGTACTTAAAACTCCTGGATTTCAAGATTCAAGATTATAACGTGTGAAAAGCAATGAATGTCATGGAAACAAAAACAACAAATTCTATGTAGTTGTTGATAATAATGTCACAAACCAAAATAAAACTATGTTGAAAATGAGACTAAACAATGAGCAATAGTCCAAAGCTAGCTAGCAATTATTTTTGTCTTCTTTAAACTGTTTATTTATATAACATAGATTAAGACCACACATCTACTTTTAGAAACTAATTCATTCACCTATGTATTTTGAGAAAAACTCCTAGTTAGGTGTAGATTAGGATTTAACTAGTTTAGTTCATTCATTAGTTGAAACTCCAAACTCTCTTGAAATGCCATTGAGAAAATGGCAAGGTAATTTATTTTTAGCCGTGAGTAAATATCCAACACATCCGTCTATTTTATCGAAATTTGCACATTTTTCCTCCATTCCAACTAACAATATTATGAATATATAGTCCTAAATGTGATCTTTTACAATGGTGTATATCTGTAATAAAAGAAAAAAGGAGTACATAACATATATGTAAAAATCAGTTGTTTACATCATAATCCT